GGAAAGAGAACCGAGGCTGCACCGAGGGGCTTAGCTGTGGGGATGTGGGTCCCTGATGGACGAGAGCATCATTCACGGGGGAAGGGGTGCAGGTGAGGGTGGGGGCAGGGCACCTGCAGACACCCGTGGGAGCCTTCCTGCAGGGGAGGCTGGGCTGAGAGCATCCTCAGTGGGATCCGAGGGGAGAGGCTGACCTTGGTCAGGAGCAGGGACAGGTCACCTCTGGTGACAGGAGGCCGGCGGACCAGGCAGGTCCTGCAAATTGTGAGTAGTTGATAGCTGACAGCTTCTCACCAGCTGTCCTCCAGCTCGGGGTCCCCTGGGCACTGCAAGCACTGGGGTTGGAGCATCTTCTGAGGACTATCCAGGGTGCTGTGGGGTGTGGAGCAGCCTTGCTGGCCCCACCCCCTTGATGCCAGTAGCCCCCCAGTCGTGATGACCACAGACGTCCCCAGACATGGCCCCATGTCCCCTGGGGGCAGGACAACCCGGGTGAGATCCGTGCTTTAGCTGCAAGATTTGACCTGGCAAATCTGTTCTCAGTGGAAGTCAAGAGCAGCAACTGAACTAGAAAACTTGATGAAGGTTTTTTTTTTTTTTAATCTGATTGAGGGATCAAGTACCCTCAGTTTCATCCCAAAGCATCGATGCTGATGGAAGTCACTTCCAGGAGTAAGAACATGAAACAAAAAAACACAAAGTTTTAAAAAGGGGACTTGCCTGGGCGTCCAGTGGTTGAGACTCCGTGCTCCCAATGCAGGGGGCCCAGGTTTGATCCCTGGTCAGGAAACTAGATCCCACATGCTGCACGGCGTGGCCAAAAAAAAAAAAAAAAAAAAAAAAGGTAACTGGAAGCGATTTAACTTTGCTGTGGAGAAAATGAATGATTGATCAGGATTACATTTGATTTGTAGAGTTTACTCCGAACCTACTCTCAAAGAAAGCTCATCAGTTGGGGGGCGGGGAATCTGGGTTTAGATGCTGTCTTTCATCAACAAAGACCCAGGGGCCAGGGGGCAGGTGGAAAGGTCCATGTAACAGACGACCACAGACTGGGTGGCTTAACACGGGCAGGAATTGACGCCCACATTCTGGAGGCCTGAGCTCAAGGCTGAGGTGTCACAGGGGCCTGCTCCCTCTGAGACCTTTGGGGGGACCCTTCCTTCCTCTCTCAGCTCAGTGCTGTTATTTACTATATTAGGATTGAAGACAGAAAATTTTGAAACATTTGTTAATGTCATTTAAAAAATAAACTCATTACATTTGAACTTTTTTTTTGAAGTCTAGTTGATTTACAATGTTATGTTAGTTTCAGGTGTACAGCAAAGTGACTCAGGTATACATACATATATATCTATTCTTTTTCAGATTTTTTTCCATTATAGATTTTTTTTAACATCTTTATTGGAGTATAATTGCTTTACAGTGGTGTGTTCCATTATAGGTTATTAAAAGGTATTGAATATAGTTCCCTGTGCTATACAGTAGGTCCTTGTTGTTTATTTTATATACTGTAGTGTGTATATGTTAATCCCAAATTCCTAATTTACGCCCCCCCCTTCCCCCTTTGGTAACCATAAGTTTGTTTTCTATGCCTGCATTTTAACGTTTTTAAAAACCACATTTT